ACTACCTCCGGTATAACCCTGAACCGAACCGGGCTGCAGGAGGGACAGCAGATCCGAACGAACTCCACTCCTCTTTGCACTTCCCAGCTGGTGTTGCTTCGCCCGGCTGTCTAGTATTCAAAGACCGCTCTTAAGTCAAGGTTAACAATCACGGCGACTGGAGAGAGGGGGGGAGGGGGGAGGGGGGAAGGGATGGGGAGGGGGAAGGGGGAAGCATAGGAGATGGGGGAGGAGGAGGAGGAGGAGGAGAAGGAGAAGGAGGAGGAGGAGGGAAGCATAGGAGATGGGGGAGGAGGAGGGGGAATATAGATGGGGGAGGAGGAGGAAGGAGGAGGAGGATGGGGAGGGGGAGGGGGAGAGGGGGGATGGAGGAGGAGGAGAAGGAGGAGGAGGAGAGGAGGAGGAGGAGGAGGAAGGAGGAGGAGGAGGAGGAGGAGGTGGAAGAGGAGGGGGGAGGAGGAGGAGGGGGGGAGAGGAGGAGGAGGTGGAAGAGGAGGGGGGAGGGGAGAGGAGGAGGAGGAGGAGGGGGGGAGGAGGAGGAGGAGGAGGAGGGGGGAGAGGAGGAGGAGGGGGGGAGAGGAGGAGGAGGAGGGGGGGAGAGGAGGAGGAGGAGAAGGGGGAGGTGGAAGAGGAGGAGGAGGAGGGAAGGAGTAGGAGGAGAGGAAGGAGGGGGAGGTGGAAGAGAGGAGGAGGAGGAGGAGGAGAAGGGGCAGGTGGAAGAGGAGGAAGAGGAGGGGGAGGGGAGGAGAAGGAGGAGGAGGAGGAGGGGGGAAAAGGTGGAGGAGGAGAAGGGGCAGGTGGAAGAGGTGGAAGAGGAGGGGGAGGGGAGGAGAAGGAGGAAGAGGAGGAAGAGAAGAGGGAGGTGGAGTAGGAGGAGGAGGAGGAGGAGGAGGAGGAGGAGGAGGGAGAGGTGGAAGAGGAGGAGGAGAAGGAGGAGGAGGAGAAGGAGGAGGAGAAGGAGGAGAAGGAAGAGGAGGAGGGAGAGAGTAGAGGAGGAGGAAGATAAGGGGTGTGTGGAAAAGGAGGAGGAGGAGGAGGAGGAGGAGGAGAAGGAAGAGGAGAAGGAGGAGGAGGAGAAGGAGGAGGAGGAGTAGAAAAAGGAGGAGGGAGGGGGGGGGCACAAGACACAGGAAAGACTGCATTCTAAGAGCATATCAAATATCACCACCAATAATCTAAATACAAGAAAAAGCGTCCTGAGCACACAAACAAGCAATAACTACCACAAGCAATGATGGGACCAGGTTACCGCACCCCAGCTGGTGGCGTGGGTGGGGTTGGGTGGGGGTGGGGGGTGGGGAAGGGGAAAGAGTGGGGGGGAGAAAGAAGGAAAGGAGGGCTAAGGAACGGGGTAAGAGGTGGTGGAGGAGGAGGAGGGGGTGGTGGGGCAGGCATACGGGTAAGTAGGTTCGAGGGTTGGGGTTGGGGGGGGAGCATACGGGTAAGTAGATTCGAGAGTTGGGGTTGAGGATTGGAGTGTGTGTGTGGGTTTGGATTGGGGGGTAGGGCATCATACGGATACCGGTGGACGTGAAGTAACCCGACTACCTCCGGTATAACCCTGAACCGAACCGGGCTGAAGGAGGGACAGCAGATCCGAACGAACTCCACTCCTCTTTGCACTTCCAGCTGGTGTTGCTTCGCCCGGCTGTCTAGTATTCAAAGACCGCTCTTAAGTCAAGGTTAACAATCACGGCGACTGGAGAGAGGGGGGGAGGGGGGAGGGGGAAGGGATGGGGAGGGGGAAGGGGGAAGCATAGGAGATGGGGGAGGAGGAGGAGGAGGGAGTATAGGAGATGGGGGAGGAGGAGGGAAGCATAGGAGATGGGGGAGGAGGAGGGGGAATATAGATGGGGGGGGAGGAGGAGGGAAGCAGAGGAGATGGGGGAGGAGGAGGGAAGCATAGGAGATGGGGGAGGAGGAGGGGGAATATAGATGGGGGGGGAGGAGGAGGGAAGCAGAGGAGATGGGGGAGGGGGGGAGGGGAGAATAGGAGATGGGGAGGGAGAGGATAGATGAGGAGGGAGAGGGGAGCATACAATAGGAGGAGGGGGAGGGGAACATACAATTGGGGGAGGGGGAGGGGAGCACATAGGGAGAGGGAGGGGGAGGGTAGCGTAGGAAAGTGGGGAGGAAGGAAGACTACGCTAGGTGTTTTGTTCACGTGCGTGGCAGCGGCACCATGGTAATAAATCTGGAAGTATCCAGTTTTTTCCATAATTTGACCTATAGGTATCCATCCAAATTGTTTTTTTCTTTTTCTTTTTTATTCTAAGTTTCGTCTGAATCGCTCTCTATCTCATATAAATATTTTTTTCTTTTCTTTCTATTTTTTTTTTAGAAATCTCACGTAAATGAAGTCCCCTTCCCCCCCACCCCCCCCCTCATTCAGAAAAAAGGAGGACCACTTTTCCCCCGTCATGGCGTGCCTGTGCGTTCCACGAAAACAATCAACGCACAAAAGGTGTTGCGTAATTGATCAGTAGCACATTAGACTTAC